TGTATGTAGGTATGTATGTGTATATATATATCTATCTATTTATCTATCTATGGTGCAGCGTCGCCCGACCCCCACACCCATGGTATCGAGACTTTGGGTGGCCTCAGCTGTGGTGTGGTCGTGAGTTTTGACTTGTTTAACCCCCCTCGTACCCCTGTGGTGTGGTGGTGGGTTTGGGGATATTTAAGCTCCTTTTCCCCTGGCCCATCCAGGTGAGTGTCGCCGCTTTGGACACGGCGCGAAGTTGCAGAGCTTCAGAAGTCGTTGCCACTTTTGAGACAAAAGTGACGACCCTCACGGGGATTTCGGTTGTATAGCATGGCGGGGGTGTGCCGACACGCGACACGGCACCATAAATACACGTAGGCTTTGAAGTACTTGAATAAGAACCCCTGTAAAGCCCCACTATATACGAAAAGGGGCGCATGGAGCCAATCAGAGCCCTTGCAGTAACTTTGTAGATCCCTTTAAATTTCCGTTTTTCAAATGCAAATGGAAGAAGTGGAATGGAGGCATAACCCCATAAATTGCCTGTACAGTTATAAACCCGTCAAGAGCCCGAGTCAAGCCCCTACTATAGTAACCCGCCCTAAACCCTAAACCCTAACCCCTTAAACCCTAAACCTTAAACCCTAAGCCCTAAACCCTTAAACCCTAAACCCTAAACCCTAAACCCGAGCAAGAGAAAGAACCTACAACCCGGGAGCAAAAGGACGGCGAGCCGCCGAACGCACCCTACCTGCCGGGAGAGGCGGGAGCCTGGGAGCTTTCTAGGGTTTAGGGGCTTTGAGGGTTTATAGGGGTGGGGGTTTGGGGCTTAGGGTTCCTTTAAAGGGTACTACAAGGCTTCCTTTAAGGGGTTTATAGGGTTCAGGGTTTAGGGGTTTTGGGGTTTTGGGGTTTAGGGTGTAGGGTGTAGGGTGTAGGGTTTAGGGTTTAGGGTTTAGGGATATAAATGATCGGGTGTCATCAGCTTTAAACCCTATCCCGCAAGCAGCACGGTTTAGTGTTTAGGGTTCCGGGGCAGCTGTCATCAGCCACAGACCCTAAACCGTACACAGCTAAACCCTGCAGGCCTAAACCTCAGCAGCGAAACCTCACATGCAACTCCGAGCAGGGTATGGCAGACCTCTCAAACTCTCCTAGAGTCCTAAACCCTCAACCCTAAACCGAAATCACGCCGCAGTCTAAGAGAACCCTATTGAAATCTTATAAAGACCCTTGAGCCACATATGTTTAACCCAACACCAACATCATTACCAATACTAGTTTAGGGTTTAGGGTACCAGTTTGGGGTGCAGAAACGATGTTAGAGTGTATTATGCCCTATTCTAACTATTAAGGCCCCTACAGTATTTCGACCCTTTGTTGTTGTCCTCGGGGTCCGTCCAGCCCGCTGGCTCCTGATCATCAGGGGTTGAGGTCTTCGGCTTTCCCTAACGGCAGATGTGTCCAAAAGGGCTCCTTGAAGCGATTCCCTTGGGTCTCGTTTAAGGGTTGATTGAAGGGTTCTGTAGGGTTTAGGGAAGAAGGGTCCATGTAAAGTAGTCTCCATATATGTGCTTTAGGGCAACTTGGTACATACTATTCGGGTTCAGGCTTGCGGCTCTGAGCTTCTTCGGGCATAGGATGAACCCAGTCCGAAGTAAAGTGCTCTAAACCCAAGCCCCTGAACCCTAAACCCTAACCCCTTAAACCCCAAACCCTAGCCCCTTAAACCCTAAACCCTAACCCCTTAAACCCTAAACCCTGAACCCTACCATGGTGCAACGTAGTTAAGGCTTCCAAAATCGGGAGCTGCCATTGACTGCTATTCCTTTTAGAATTTACCCAAAGGGTCTAATTTATGTCCAAAATTCCATACTCTGAACGGTTTCCCTAAACCCTAAACCCTAAACCCCTAAACCCTAAACCCTAAAACCCTACGATTTGGGTACTTGGAGCCTCTGGGTTAACTATCTGCCGCGGCTAACCTGGTACACAATCGAAGACGTGTCGGCAGTCCCTACCTGGACCCTAAAAGTATGTAGAATAATAGCCATTTTTTATGGGTTTTGGGCCATTATTTTACCTACTTTTGGGGGGGTTTGGGTAAGGGCTTTTGGGTCCCCTAGTTTGTGAAACTCAGATGCCTTTGATGGTTTAGGCCTATCTTGTTGTCATCGGAGTTTTTGAGGTACACCGAAAACGTCGTAAACGGACCATTTTGGTTTTGGTAGGCACAGCAGCGACATCCTCGATATTTATCCGTCTTATTCGTAAGGGTCCAAACGAGGCAATGATCAGGTACTCGGGTTTCGGATGGGATCGGATAGTAGTTCTTATATTACAACAGGAAATATAGGTATGTATTTGGTGGAGCTTGGACCCCATGAGTATTGCCCAGGCTACAAGAAAAGTGGAGGATGTAAACTCTACTGTTTCCTTAATGACGAAATGAACCCTAAAAGGGTTTAAGGCTCAGAAACCATATAGGGATTCATAGTATGAGGCTATAGGGCCCCACTTTTAAGGGTCATTTCGTCCTTCAGGTTCTGTTCGACTGAGGCCATTGAAAGCTGAGTGTTTGGAATTGTGTAGACAGCCCTGTTAGGATTCCCAATGCAGATCGTTGTGTTTATTGAAGCATCAATCAGGGGGCTCGAGGATTTGTTTTCCTAGACCGTAAACCCTTTAAACCAATCTATGAACTACTGTTGATGATCGAAATCCTGCATTACCTTAAGGACCCTAAACTATGGGAATTATGGTATATTCCTTATAATGGGTCATGCAGGGTTTACATCATCAACCGTATCCTCATGTTGTCCCTCGACAACCCCTTGCCCCAGAATGTCGCCGGAACCCGGCATCCCAGAACGTTGTACTTTAGGGTTTATAAATTTGGGGTTTAGTGCTTACCTAAACCCCCAAAAGTAGGTAAAATAATGGCCCAAAACCCATAAAAGTCTATTATTCTACATACTTTTGGGGTCCAGGTAGGGTTTAGCATCAGGGGCACACAACCTCAAGCCCAAACCCCACGGCCCGCAGCCAAAACGCGCAGGTGTGGCCCACGCCAAGCGGCTGCAGGCCCCGGACGCATGTTCATTTTCTAGAGTTCAAAGGGTCCAAAGTACCTATGGAAGGTGCCCCCCATAACAGTACCAAAAAGGGCCCCCTTTTTATTCCTAGGTTTCTCTGGGGTCTAGTCTATAGTCCACAGGCTAAGAGCAGTTAACCCAGGATGGATGGTGTCGGGAGTTAAGCACATCATAGCCCCAAGCCACATGGAGGACTCTGCGTTTGTGTATGCTTGGAGGTGTGTACATATATACATATATATATATAACATCTATATTTGTCTTTATTTAATCTTTTGGATACCTAGAATGCTTTTGACAATCTGGACTCCTCTTATGAGTACCACTTGAAGACATTTAGAGTGTGCAAGATCCGGTGGTGGACTTGTAGGAGCTGTCGCTGTACATTTTCAGAAATACCGTAGCCCTCCGCTTTGTGCAGGGTATAGAGAAGCGTATTGCCTGTTTGAAGAATTCTGATGCCTTCGGTTTGACAGGGTTTTAGGGTTGAGCCGCGTTTGTTTATAAGGTGTTTCGGAATTTATCTCTGCGATAGCTCACCCATAAATCCAAAACCTTAAACCTAAACCCCTAAACCTTAAACCCTAAGCCCATGTTGCAGATTCCGTAGTATGGAACATCCGCACATCGCCTTCGGACGGCTGTGGAAGCCCGTACGCTGGAGCTGTCACGCGGCCATACACATCCAAACCCTAAACCCTAAACTGATCCCTGAAGCTCCACGTGCCTACGGTGTACACGCTTGGGCCTTAAAGTACCTCTATAGGAGCCCCTTTAAGGCCTAACTGTATGACATGCTGTATATATAAATATAGAATAAATATAGATATAAATACAGATATACATATAAATATATAAGTATAAATACGTAACTATCTATCTATGTATGTGTATATATGTATATATATATATGGGCACATATCCTTCCGCTGCCATGCAAACTCTCTTCTTTCTTTCGCTCGGATGCTTGCTCCTGATAGAAACAGGCACCCTGGAGGGTAGCAGAATTCGCCCTGGAGCCATGTTGCTCAGTTCATGTATGGTCACACAAATATATGTATGTGTGCATATATATATATGTATGTACACATGTATGGTATGGTATGGTATGGTATGGTATGGTATGATACGGTACGGTAGGGTAGGGTAGGGTAGGGTAGCGTAGGGTAGGGTAGGGTATGGTATGGTATAGCATAGTATAGTTTAGTTTAGTAATTATAATATAGTATGACTATGGATATGTGTGTACAGGTGTAGTCAATCATTGCGAAGTCACGGCCATAAACTCTACCATGCCCCACGAAGCGGCTCAAGCAGAACGGTTTTGCGCTTCCCGTAGGTGTGAGCTGCCGCCGAGGTTCGCAAGAGATAGTGCCTCAGTTCGTTTCCGCGATGGCAATGGCCAGCGAGCTGTTGAAAAATGCAACGGAGGCAAGGAAGACTTGGGTGAAGCGCCAGACAGAGAGATTCGCTCAGGCATGCCAGAGGCGGCTTAGAGACAGCCATGGCTTCGAGACCACTGCCACATTGAAGATTTTCGCTCCGACCAACACGAAGCGGGGTGCCTTGAAAGCCGCAGAGGAACTGAAGCACAGCCTCGATGAGCAAGGTTTCGTTGCTCCCCAGGTGCAGGTGGAAGCTCTGTTAAAGGGCATGGTGTTCCGTCTCTCAATGCAGGCTTCCTTGGTGAAGGACGCGACCGACGATGGAACGGGTGGGCTTCGCGGGCATTGCCCCATCTGTTTGGGTTCCAAAGTGCTGGTGGCACTTGCCCCTTGTGGTCACACCGTCTGCCAAGATTGCAAGCCCACTGTCTGTTCGACGCATCGACCTACTCGTCGGAAGCAGTGTCCGATGTGCCGCGCCTTTGTGGAAGCGACGACAGCTGGCATTTTCGTTTCCTGACTGCACCCATAGGCCCCTAAGTAGTTCCTTTTGGGGATTACCTTAATAGGGTTCTAAATATAAACCATAAAAAGGAACTACTTCGGGGCCTCTGGGTAAGCATCTTCAGGGCGGAGGAAGAAGCCATGAGCTAGATCTGACGGTAGCTGGCGAATGGGACCACGCCAACACCCGGGCATCCGTGCGCTTGCAGCCATCAGCAGCTGCCAAAAACCAAGGGTTTAGGGTTTAGGGTTTGGCTCTTGGTACTGAGACCGTTTCAAAAGGGGTCTCACACATTTTCATTAATGTGGTGTTCCCGTGTTCTCGTCCCGTTACGACAATACAGGATACTACAACCCGAAACCCTGTTCGAACAGTTAAGGCCTCTACTAAAAGGATCATGGGACTTTATAATTCTGGGCGGGGGTTATAAGTACTTCAACTGCAGCTATGCTTTAAATATAATATAACGACTATTATAAGGTACTTAGGACCTGATTTACTACTACGTCCCATGCTCCTCCAAGTATAGAAAACCCTGGGCCCCCAAAAGTATGTAGAATACTAGCCTTTTTCTGGGTTTCGGGCCACTATTTTACCTGCTTTTGGGGGGTTTAGTATTTAGGACAGGCCAGAGCTGTTCCGACACGCGGAATCAACCCGGCAACTGCAGCATCGTACGAGCCGAAAAAGAGAGGTGTGCCCCTTCTGATTCCGAGCCTCGCCCGCCCTTTAGGAACTTTATACGGCTTGCAGGGCTTATAGGGCTTATGGGGTTTATAGGGTTTATGTGCTTAGAGGGTTCAGGGTTTGGGGGGGACCGTGCTTCGTCATGATGTCTTTGAGCCTGACCCTTAGCATCGAAGGACTCATATTTTAAGGCTTTTGGGCCCAAAGACCCTATAATATAAGGGTTTTGTGCTATTTTGATGCTAAGGGTGAGGCGTGCAGTCAAGGTCCACGTCCTTCTCAGAACCTCAAGCCTGAACTGTCTAACTCCTAAACCCCAGTTGCCTTACTCCCCTAAACCAATAAACCCCTAGGGTTTAGGGTTTAGGGTTCAAGCCCAACCCCCTAAGCCTAGACCTCAAAATCGAAACCGCCACTCGCCAGATCACCGTCAAAGCTCCCCTTCCTGGCATCTGACTTGCTGCTCCGAATCAGAGGTGAGGCAGCGAAGGAGAAGGGGGAGATCTAGGCCGTAGGCTGTTTCACCCGCCACCCCTACGTACCTCAAATACCAAGGGGTCTTTCATCAGGTGTTTTAGAGGGTCTTTATAAGTTGTTTTACAGGGTCTTATTGCGGGTCATGTGGGGTCCCGAAACGATAAATCCTAAACCCTAAACCCTGTGGCGTTGTATCGGCCAAGGACTTCATCACGTCTTCCCGTGTATCGGGGCCTCGCTGCTTAAGGACTCCATATGAGAGTTTCCGAAAATAAGGGGTACCTTATTTTGGGGTCCTTATAATAAGGATCCTACTATTTAGGGTACTATATTTGGGTCTCGTATTTTCGGAAACCACCATATTGGTGGGAATTCATGGCGGTTGAGAGCTAAATCCTCAAAAGTGGATGCGACAGTTCGGACCAGTGGCAAACTTTGTATGGCAGATTCTGAACTCCTACATTCCAGATCTATAGAATCTATCCTTAAGGGTCCATGTATCCAAATAGTACATAGTTTGGCTTTAATGGCCTTAATGTAGTCCTATATAGGCACTTTAGGGCCAATGTATATACTATTTGGGCACATGGACCCTTAAACCCAAAACCCCTCTAGTCTTAAAGTACGCTTATAGAATCCCTTAAAGGAACCCTTTCTGTACCCTTAGGGTATAGCCGGTCCTCCCCTTTCTTCTGTAATATATTGCTTGCACGCTCCTGCCAGCCGTGGGATCTTCTACACACGGTTTAGGGTTTAGGGTTTAGGGTTTAAAATTTAGGGTTTAGAGTCGAGTGAGTTTGGAGCTTCAGGAGCGCTTGCAATGTCTAACAGACCAGTTCGTGAGCGTGGGTCCTTGTGCGATAATACTGGGGTCTAAAAAGTTATCTATACTATTTTGGGGGTTCCTTACCATAATTATAGTATAATATACCGCAAAATCCTATTCTAATGATTAAGGCCCCTACATTATGTGACTTCCATCTGGTTTCTCCATTTTCCCGTGTCGGTCTTGCAGCTACCCATAGGCCCCAAAGTAGTTCCTTTTTGGGATCTGTAAGGATTCTAAATATAAACCATAAAAAGGAACTACTTAGGGGCCTATGGGTACGCCTACATGACCTTGTTACCTTGTTCCTTACGAATCCAATCCCGGACCCGAGCCCTAACCCCTATACGCAGGCCTAAGTTCACGCCTGGGTTCAGGGTCTGTAGGGTTTACCTTAACCCCAAATAACTTTTTCAGGACTTATATACAGAATTCATATTAAGGAACCCTAATAAGGTAGGTTCTTCAGGGTCCTGGTAGGGTTGAGGACCCGCGGCCACCCTAAAGCCCTGAACCCTAGAGCTTTCCACAAGTATGCCCTAAACCCCTAAACCCTAAACCACTCCTAAACCCTAAACCCTACACCCCTATACTCCTAAGCTCTCAACCCCCAAACCCCTAAACCCTAAACCCCTTCTAAACCCTAAACCCCTGGAGCCCTAAACCCCTTAAGCCCTACACCCCTAAACCCTAAGCCACTCTTCTGCGCATCAGTCTCGAGGGGGGTCTTTGGTTCGGGGTCTGTCGTCTCTGGCAGGGCACCTGCGCGACAACGGGTTTCAACCCGGACCTTCTGAAATCCCTCAAGCAAGACAAACCTGCATTCATATGAATGGGTTTAGGGTTTAGGGGTTTAGGGTTTAGGGGTTAGGGTTTTAGGGTTTATTGGGTTTAGGGATCCCACTAAACTTAAAGGTATATTGCCTGAATGTAAGGGTTTTTTGGAAGGTCTGGGCAGTCTCACCCCGGCAACCAAGAACCAGGGGAGAGCGCCAGCCCCTCTACGGTTTCGGGCATTTGGAAGGTTTAGGGTTTAGGGAACGGTATCCCAAGCGCATGAGTTTGCATTTCGCATTAAGAGGCTAGTAGTAAGTAGGAGAAGGCTCAGGGTATTTACTACCCATAGTCCCCTAAGTAGTTCCGTTTTGGGATTACCTTATAGGCTTCTAAATATAAACCATAAAAAGGAACTATTTAGGGGCCCATGGGTAGGCCGCACCTTAAGGACGAAATGACCCTTAAAAGTAGGGGCCCTATATCCCTATACCATGAATCCCTATATGGTATATGAACCTTACACCCTAAACCCAAAACCCTAAACCCTGAACCTTACACCCTTTTAGGGTTCATTTCGTCCTCAAGGCACTTGAACTGGCGTTTAAGTTCGATCCATCTTCATGGGGCTCGAAGAGTAGCTCCGGCGTGGAGGTTTAGGGTTTAGGGTGTAGGGTTTGGGGGTTTAGGGTTTAGGGGTTTAGGGTTTAGGGTTTAGGGGTTTAGGGTTTTAGGGTTTAGGGGTTTAGGGGTTTAGAGGTGGTGTGGGGCTTCGGGTTTTGGGTTCCGGGCTCTGGGTTTAGGGTTGGGTTTATATGGTAAACCCTAAACCCCTCGACCCTAAACCCTACCTAAACCCCCCAAAAGTAGGTAAAATAGTGGCCCAAAGCCCAGAAAAGGCTATTAGTCTACATACTTTTGGGGTCCGGGTAAGCCCCTGAGGCGCTCTCAAACCTTCTTCTTGGTGCAGAGAAGTGCTCTGCTGGTTCACCTGTGCACCCAACGGTCCGCACGGTTTTCCAAAAAAGAGTCCCTCATGTTGTTTTTTTGGAGCTGAGAGGTAGGCGGTTTAGACTTAAATGCCTTGCGTAGAGTGTTAGGTTTCCCGAAGGGTCCATGTACTCAAATAAAACATACTTTCAGCCCGAAGTAACTTCGTTCCATCATCGGAGCTTCTCCGCAGACTCACCACCATCTGCAGAATCCTCACAGCTGATGAGAAGGATAAGTATGTGGGTTGCGGCACAGGGAGCAAGGGACGCAAGGGTTTAGTTTTGATCCATAGTTCAACCCCGCATAAGCCATAAGCGGTATTGACGGCGTAGGTGATGAGTAGGTCTTCCGGCACTAGGCCCATGGGCCTACGCTTCGGCTTTTCTGAATGAATAGCTATCACTTCCAAAGTCATAAGAAGTTAGCTTTAAGACTATACTTTGCTGTTCGGTACAGTATAGTCGTTGCTAAGAGTTGCTGTCTCCAATGAGGATTCGCTGGCAGAGTGGCGCTTGAGCGAAGCTTCAAGGAGGATTCTGTTTAGTCGTTTCGCAGATTGCGTAGGACTGTTCTTACAGGCTGGTGTCGACAAGCAGGGTGATCCCTGTTTCCCTTGGCATCAAAATAGCCCAAAAGCCTTATATAATAGGGTCTTTGGGCCCAAAAGCCTTAAAATATGAGTCCTTCGATGCTAAGGGTTTGAGTCAAGACAAGATGAGACACGGATCATTGACTGGAGGATCCTAGACACTACGTCTTAGGGCCTTCAAAGCCTCAATTCTTAAGGAAGTCGCTTCCGGGGTCCAAGCCTCACCTTTGAAATGCACAGCTTTATGTGAAATTCGCGTGCATTGAGTCCACTACTCACGCTACTTCCACGCTAGTTTCAGATGTTTTGGGTAAAGACCTGCTCGCAAGCTCACGATGCAGACTTCGTGCTTTGGCCAGAAACATCTGCTGAATTCATGCTGCACCCATAGGCCCCTAAGTAGTTCCTTTTTGGGATTACCTTATAAGATTCTAAATAACCATAAAACTTAGGAGCCTATGGGTAGGCCTCTGGGAGTGCATCTGAGATCGAGAAAGGGGGGGTGCCTCACAGCGCCATGTCCCGGCCGTGCTCGCGTCGCGGCGCTGGAGCTCTGGCCACCTTGCAGACCTCAATGCTTGTTCGGGATTCGGGGGTTAGGGCTAGGGTTTACGGTGTGGTTTAGGGTTTAGGGTTGTAAGCTCTAAGGTTTACATGGACCTTATACAA